GCTCAGGACCATAGTACTGGGGGACACTAAGGTCAATTGGCATAACACAGTCCAGAAAGACAATGTTCTACATCCTACTTAGGTGAGCAGTGACTGGAGTTTTAAAAGTCTGTGAGCAGCTATCTAAGGTACAACTATTGGTCTCTCTCCATCCAGAGCAAAGAAGAATGAATAAAATCAAAGATACAGGACACAGTTGGTCCAAAGGACTAATAAAGCACATGAACCCCAGCCTCCATGAGTCTCAGAACAGAACTAGATGATGCCCAGCTACCACTACTGACTGCTCTGAAAGAAATCACAATAAGAGGCCCCAGATAGAGTGGGGGAAAATGTGGGAAAAAACTCAAAATCATAAAAAAGCCAGGCTTATTGGTCTGATGAATATTGGTAGAACCCCCAAGACTATGGCCCTTAGACACTCTTCAAGATAGGCATTGAACTGAATGAACCTCCATGACTCAACTGGAAGCCAAATGATAGATGTATAAAGTGAACAGTAGTATCAGGAGGGTTTGCACTCATTGCAACAATCAAGCATATGAGATTAAGAATAGCATTTGCCCAGGGATAGAACTAGGAAGGTGGGAGGGTATGGGAAGGAAGAATGAAGGGAAGAGGTAGGCATAGAGAAGAAGTGTTAAAAATGTTATTACAGTGTGGGGATTGCAGTAAATGTCAGAAAACAGAATGTGTATGGATCAGTGAATGGAAAACCAATTTGCTCTGTAAACTTACACCCAAAACACACACCAAAAAAAGTCTTAATACCAAAAGCATTATTCCTCTACCTTGCCCTTATGGTTCAAGATTGTGTGGGTATTCTTGTCCTTATGTCTCCTGGTATAAATATTAAAATCAGTTTAACAATTTTCACACATCAGAAAATCTTGAATACTGAGGTATAATTTATATATGGTAAAATTCACAAATCTTAACCCTATAGTTCAATGAGTTGTGCTAAATGTATACATATCCTTGTAGCCAACAGCAAAACCAAGGTGCAGAATATTTCTATCACTCAAAAAAGTGCCATTATGCTCCTTTCCACTCAATTTCCACTCCCAGAAGAAACCACTGCTCTTATTTCTAACAGAAAGTGTATATTTTGCCTGTTTTTGAATTCACATTTGTGGACTCACATAGTATGTGCTTTTTTTCTGAATGACTTCTTTTGCTCAGCATGTCTGTTGGATTCATTCATTTTCTTCAATGTATCATTAATCCATTCCTTCACCTATTTCTATTGCTATGTATCATTCCATTAAAGGAGCCCTGACAGTTTTCATTGGAGGCTATTTTAAATACCGCCTTCATTTTTCATGAATTTTTTTTTATACATTTACTTTCACAGATATATATTTTCATTTCTGAGGTAAATTTACAGCAGTGGGATTTCAGGGATATGAAATAAGTGTATGTTTATAAGAAACCACCAAAAAGTTTTCCAATATGGTCATTCTATTTTACACCCCCACCAAGAATTTATGGGAATTCCAGTTGCTCTCTCTCTCACCAGAATTTGGAATTGTCTTTTCTTTAAAATTTAGCCATTTTGGTGAAATGGTGTCTCTCTGTGGTTTGATTTTCCTTTCACTGATGACTAATGATGCTGGGATCCTTTTTCTGTGCTGTCCACTCATAAATTTCTTTTGTTCAGTGTCTGTTCAAGTCTCTTGCCCACTTAAAACACTCCTTGTCTTTTTATTAGTGATGTGTAATTCTTTACAGATTCTAGATATGAATACAACAACATATGTATTTTTAAGATACATGTGTATTAGGAGTATTTTATCCTACTTTTCACAGTTTGACTGCTTTCTAAATGGCATGTTTTGAATGTTGTTGTTGTTGTTATGTGCCATCGAGTCGGACCAGACTCTTAGCGACCCCTCCTTGGGTTTCCGAGGCAGCATCACTACGAAAGTAGATTGCCCCATCTTCCTTCCAAGGAGTGGCTGGTGGGTTTGAACCGCCAGCCTTCTGGTTAGCAGTCAAGTGCCTTAGCCACTATGCTACCAGAGCTCCTATGTTTTGAATAGCAGACATTTAAAATTTTGATAGTCCCCATTGTCATTCTTTCCCATTGGGGCTAATGCTTTTTTCAATACTAGAAATGTTTGCCTACCTAAAGATTACAAATATGTTCCCTTGCTTAATTTTGTTTTGTTTTTGAATAGTTTCACAGTTTTATCTTTTATGTTTATTCTGTGAGGCAGAGGATGAAGATGTCCCAAATGTCTAACTTTTGCAAACTACTGTACCACCCCATCATCTCTAACATCAACTATTCCTCCTTCGTTCAATACTCTTGCTCCTGTTTTGGGGTTCCATAATTTTATACAATGTCTCACAGAACTTACAAACCATCAAGGAAATGGCTCGCATGGTTGTAGAGGCTGGCAAGTCCCAAATCAGTGGTTGCAGGGGCTGACAAACCCAAGTAGCCTGTGGAAGCTGGTCAATCAGGTCAGGAAACAGGCTGCTAGTTCAAGTTCCCAGAACCAGAGATCTGAGGATAACTAGGCAGATGCAGGATCCAGAGCAAGGCAGAACTTTGGCAGAGCATTCATATATATTGGATGTAGACCATGCCCTCAAGGAAACTAAGGGTGGTGACTTGAGTTACATCTGCTAGTAACTAGTGATTCAAGATACATCCCACCCTAATTCTGCCTCATTAACATAATTGAGAACTCACTGCAAAATGGGATCATAACCACAGGCACAGCAGCTAGGATTTACAATACATCACAAAATGGAGGACTTTGGCTAGAAGGGCCATAATTAATTCACTGCACCATAGTTTAGAACTATGATCCACTGCATATTTGATTTATGAGAGATCAGTGTTTATTTCTTCCTCATAATATCTGCTGTTCTTACATCATTTGTTAAAAATAACTTTCTTTTCCCCATTGAATTGCCTTGGTATTTGGTTGAAAACCCATTTGAATATACATATTCTTATCTCTTTGCCTACTTTTATGCCAACAACATACTGTCTTAATTATTTGGTTTTATAGTGAATCTTGAAATTAGATCATTTAAGTCCTCCAACTATATTCCCCATCTATAAAATTGTTTAGACTATTCTAGGAATGATGCATTTTTATGTAAATTTTAGAAACAGTTTTCCAGTTTCTACAAAAACAGGTTGCTAGATGTTATAGATTGAGTCTCAAAAAAATATATCTTGAAGTCTTAACACCTGTACATATAAACATGACCCTGTTTGAAAATAAGGATTTTCTTTTGTAATGTTAATGAAGTCACACCGGAGTATGGTGGGTCCTAAGCCTAATTCCTTTTGAGTGGTATCTTAGAGAAAGGAAACACACACACACACACACACACACACACACGCACATGTACATGGAGATGACACCATGTAAAGATAAAGGCAGATACATCCATAAGTCCAGGAAAACCAAGGACTTATGTACTAGAAGCTGAGAGAGACAAAGAACCTTCCCCTAAAGCCAGTATCCTAAACTTGGACTTCTAGTCTATAGAATTATAATAAAATAAAATTATGTCCTTTAAAACTACCCATTTGTGGTGCTTTTGTTACAGCAGTATTAGGTAGAGACTAGGTGATTGAAATTGTAGAATCTATGGATAACTTAAGAGAAAATGAGTACCTTAAAAATGTTGAGTATTCCACTTATTTAAGTCTTTTTACACTTCCGTCAACACAGTTTTATAGGTTTCAGTATATAGACTTGTAAGCAGTGAACTACTTGAACAATGAGTCATATTTATTCATATTTAAATTTTTGTATCTATTATTAGAGAAGAAACTCCCCACGACCACTCCCATGATTTCACTTGTGTACACCATATCTTTCATATCCATTCCTCCACCAGTTTTAAAACACACACACACACACACACACACACACCACTCATCTGGAGTATTATGGGTCCATATTTCACTAGAAAATGGTATGGTATACGTTTATGATTTGTTCTAATTCCTCATTGATGAAAACTGGATGTGTGTGATTTGGGAGTGGGTTATAACAAACTTAACTTAGTTATCCAGCCTAGAATGTGTTCTTCAATTCATTTCCTTTAATTAAGTTTGGCATTGGGAATTCATTGGCATTGGCATTGCTTTAAATTAGTGATCTCACTTACACATCTTTCAGTTGAACCAACTGGAAGACAGAAATAGAATTTAGACATAAATAATATGCTGAATCCCAGAATGATATCTGGATGATAAAGGGGGGAAAAAAAAACACTGCTATCGAGAGTCTGATTCATAGCATCCCATTGGATTTCTAAGGCTTAAATCTTTACAGAAGTAGGCTGCCTCATCTTCTTCTCACAGAGCAAATGGTGGGTTTGAACTGTCAACTTTCTGGTTAGCAGTCAAATTCCTTACTACACCAACAGGGATCCTTGTTTGGATCATACTATACTCATACTCACCGCCAACAAGTTGACTCTGAATTATAGTGACCTCCATTGGGTTTCCAAGACTGTAAATCTTTATGGAAGTAGATTGCCCCATCTTCTTTCTGCAGAGCCACTGGTGGATGTTAACTGCTGACCTTCTTTCTGGTTAGCAGCTAAATTCCTTATCCATAGGTGTTAAAATTTTTTTAAAAAATAAACTGATAGACCCCAAAGGAAAACTAGAAAAGCTTGCAATAGTATAGCCAGAAGACCCAGTGTATTACAATACTAGACATGACTTGGCAGTATGAGATCGGTAAGAGTTACTCCAGCTTTAGAGCTATTTTCAGGGTCACAAATTGAAGAGCAAATAAATAGGAAGTTTTTCTATAAGAGGTCTTTCTGCTTCTGCAAAGTAGTTGTCTTCTCCTAATGAAGGACTGAATACAAGGGAGAAAGTTTCTACCATGACATTCTTTCAAGTGTTCTAAGATGAACAAATAACTAAGTTAAGTTTATGGCACTGTGAAGAATAGTGATTTTCCCCCGGGTACAGAATAAAAAATGAGCCCTCAAGAAACTTTATCTAACACTCACCAGTAATAAGCAGCAGGAAATGAATAAGGTGATGAAATCCCATAATAGAGCAGAAAACCAGTATATGAGGACATAGATCCCACTCACAAACTGGATGTGCTTTGCCTTAGTGACTCTCTCAGTCACTGACAGGAGACAAAAACCACTGATCAAAAGACCCATGCCAAAGTGCACATATAAACTCACAAGCATTCCACTTGTATGTCTACAGAATAAGAAAAGAAATATCAGCAAATTAACATAGTAAAAAATAAAGATTTCAATCAATAGTTATTTTTATCATATGAATGCAATTAGATAGGGCAGGAGAAATTCATTCAAAGTGTTAAAACTAACTGTAATGAAAATAATAACATACTTGTTAAACATGGAAATATAATCATGATATGGCTGAGGTTTGTTGGAGACTGTTATTGAAGCATCAGGACCAGAAAGTGACTTGAAGAGAATGTTATCTAACACTGCCAGGGATACAGATGGTGAATGGTACGCTTCATTGTTGAAAAGAACAGTCAGTACTGTTTCATTTGTCTTCACCTCAATGGAAAGTGCAACAATGCATAAATGAATACAATCTTTATTTCCCATCAAGTAATTCTGTATGTCACCTAGGGTGGGGAAACAACATTGGTCAGTGTACTCACAATATAGAACATTTACACTATATGTTGAGGAAGAGGAACCAAATGATTTCACTTGGTTTTCATCTCCTTCTATTTTCTGAAAGTGGTTATTTCAAACATTTCCATTTTTCTCAAGCACTCTATTCCATCACTAAATTCTGATCTCTCTCACTTTATATCCTACAACCTATCTTCTACTATTTCACTGAGAAAACACTGTATAATTTTTTTTTTTGTAATTGATCTACCATCAAATCGGATCCAACTCATAATGACTCCTCCTTAGTTTCCAAGGCAGTATCACTGCAGAAGTAGATTGTCCAACCTTCCTTCCAAGGAGTGGCTGGTGGGTTTGAACTGCCAGCCTTCTGGTTAGCAGTCAAATGCCTTAGGCACAATGCTACCATAGCTTCTGGGAAAACATAGGCAATATGATATAGATTCTCTCAACTTAACATCTTCTCTGTTTTAAGCTAGCCTATCAGTACTTCCCTTATAGCTGTGATGAATTATAGCAGACAAAACATCCTCTGCACATATAGAAAAGCTGGGTACAAGATAAGAAACCATCTCTTTGAAGATAGTAGAGAGCTATGAAGGAAATCAACTTTTTTTTGGCGGCCAAGAATGAGAGAATGAAAATTCACTGAGGTGAGCCCAGTATTTTATACTCTTCTTCCTTTTGACACATTTATAGATTCATAAATAGTTGAAGTACCTTTGTAAGTCCCCAAGTTCTCCATGGGACTCAGGAAGGACTACCCTGAGAGTAAGGTTGAACAACAAATACATCAGTGTTTATAAAAATTTAAAGTCTGCCTCAAATCACTTCAATCTATGATTGAAGTGGATTTAAATCTGCCAGTAATCTTACTGCCCATCAGAAGCAACATTAAATTTTCTCTGGAGAAGATAACATCATGCAGATTCTTTACACTCTTCATACATAGTATCTGGCATTCTGAGAAAAAGGCATGCCAAGAAACAACACTATGAGAGAGCACAGAGAACAGACAATAGAAACAGAGCCACAGATATTATCTGGATATAACTAGATATCAAAACTCATTGCTGTGAGTCGGATCTAATGCATAGTGACCCCTCCTTGGGTTTCTGAGGCAGTCTCACTATGCAACTAGATTGCCCAATCTTCCTTCCAAGGAGTGGCTGGTGGTTGAACCACCAGCCTTCTGGTTAGCAGTCAAATGCCTTAGGCACTACACCTCAACTAGCTATTAGAGATAGAAAATTTATCAGATAACTGGAGCCTATAGGAAGAATCAAATGGTGATGCTAGAAATGACAAAATACATTAATTACATTTAAGAATTAAATATATAATTAATAGTAATTTGGACACAAAGGAAGAGTAGATCAGTGAACTGAAAGAGAGGTGACCAGAAAATAAGCAGGCAAAAGCATAGACAGAAGAAAAAATAGAAAATATTAGGGTTCTACAACCTACTTTGGTGAGTAAAAGCTTGCGAGTGACCACTTAAAGTGTAACTATTGGTCTCTCTCATTCTGAAGCAAAGAAGACACATGGAAACAATCAGTCCAAAGGACTGATGAATCATGAGAATCACAGCCTCCACGACTCAGAGACCAGAAAAATTAAATGGTGCCTAGCTACCACTACCAACTGTTTTGAAAGGAATCACAATAGAAGGTCCTGGATAAAGTGGGAGAGAAGTGTGGAAAAAAACTCAAAATAATAAGAAGAAAAAGGCCATACCTACTTCTCTGATAGAGATTGGTGGAACCCCTGAGACTATGGCCCTTAGTTGCTTTTCAAGCCTGGAGCTGAATTCACCACCTTGGCTCAACTTTCATCCAAACAATAGACAGGCCTATACGGTGAGTAACACCAAGGAGGTATGCATTCCTTACAACAATCAATCATATGAGATCAAAAGGGCAACATTTGCCCAGGGATAAAGCTCAGAAACAACTTGACACCTAACAACAACAACAACAACAAAGCTCAGAAGACAGTAAGGGACAGGAAGGAAAGATAAATGGAAATAGGAAACACAAGGAGAGGAAGTGGGAAGAATGTTGTTACATCGTGGTGATTGCAATCAATACTATGAAACAAAATATGTATGATTTTTTTAATGGAAAACCAATTTGCCCTGTAAAATCACCCAAATCACAATAAAAAGTTTGTTTGTTTGTTTGTTTTTAAAAAGAAAATAATGGAAATGATACAAACTACCAATATCAGTTGTTGTTGTTATGTGCCGTTGAGTCGGACCTGACTCATAGTGACCCCTCCTTGGGTTTCCGAGGCAGTATCACTACGGAAGTAGATTGCCTCACCTTCCTTCCGAGGAGTGGCTGGTGGGTTTGAACCGCCAGCCTTCTGGTTAGCAGTCAAGCACCTTAGGCACTATGCTACCAGAACTCCCCCAATATCAGGTATCAAAAGGGAAATCATCACTACAGATGCTGCAGACATCTGAAGGATTATAAGAGAATAACTCAGATAATTTTACACACATAAAATTGACAATCAATAAACTACAAGCTACAAAACAGACAAACTATAACAACTCACTCAGTATTAAATTGTTCATTTTTATAACTACTTTTTTAAAACTTTTTATTGTAATTTGGATGAAATTTTACAAGGCAAGTTTGTTTTACATTCAACAGTTCACATACATTTTGTTTTCTGACCTTGATTACAATCCCCACGATGTAACAGCTCTCTTCCCACTTCCTCCCTGTGGTTACCATTTCCCTGTGTCCTTCTTGCCTATGCATTCCTGCCTTGCTACCATTTCCCCTGTACAAATGTTACCTTTCTGATCTTCCATGGTTGATTATTCTAAGGAGTGCATCTCTCTGTGTAGCTGTTCAGTTCATATACCTGTCTATTGGTTGGTTGAAAGTTAGGCATGTGAGTGAGTCCAATTCCAGGCCCAAAGGGTGACTAGGGGCTATATAGTCTTGGGGGTTTCACCAGCCTCTATCCAACCAGTAATCATGGTCTTTCTTATGTTTTATTAATTTTGTTCCACATTTTTCTCTCATTCTAGGCAGGATCTCCAAGTCTGATCCCATTCAGAGTAGTTGGCAATGGTAGCTGGGCACCATCTAGTCTTCCTGATCTCAAGGTCATATAGGCTGAGGTTCTCATGGTCCATTACTACTTTGAACTAATTGTTTCAATGCTTCTTTGATTTTCTTCACTCTTCTTTACTCTGGACTAGGAGAGACCAATAGTTGCCTCTTAGAAGGCTGCTGGCAAGCATTTAAGATCCCAGTTGCTACTCATCAAAGTGGGATGTAGAGCAAGGTTTTTGTGTACTATGTTGTGCCAATTGAGTTTAATGTCCCCTGTGACCATGGTCCTGAGCACACAGGCCCAGGGACTCACTCCCTCAAGGTGCTTAGTTGTGGTTAAGAAGTTATCCTAACTTTGTTCCCTGTTAGCTCTATACTGCATATGGACATTTTTATAGCACATACAAATATGTATGTAGGAATATCATCTGCTTAACCTATTTATAATCATGGGTATATTCCTGTTTGCCTACCCATACCTGATCTTGCCTGTCTACCTATGAATCCACCTATAGATTAGTATTTGCATTTGTATAACTATTAATGATTATTATTATTATAGTTTAAAAGTCACTTCAAGACAAATATCCAAGCCCATGCAGGCCTAGGGGAGAATTTTAATAAATATTTAAAGAAGAATTAACACTAAATCTACACCTAAGGCAAATATCTGACTGCTAACCAGAAGGTGGTTCAAACCCACCAGCCACTCCTCGGAAGGAAGATGAGACAATCAAATTCCTTATGATACTGCTTTGGAAACCCAAGGAGGGGTCGCTGTGAGTTGGATCCAACTCGACAGCAGTGAGTTTTGTTTTGTTTTTTTCTACACGATATTTTCCAGAATATAGGACATAAAACTTCCAAATTTGTTAGATGAAGCCACCACAGTACGACAAACTGACAGACGAGTGGTGGTTGAATGCTGTAGAACTAGGATAATGATTCAACATTTCCAAATGTATTACTCTGATAGTAAAACCAGAGGGCAATGTGTGTGTGTGTGTGCCATGGAATGCCAGGAGAATAAACAAATCTGTCCTGGAAGAAGTACAACCTCATGCTCCTTAGAAGTGGGAATGGCCAGACTTCATCTCACATATACATTGGTCATGTTGTCAGAAGGGACCAGTCCCTGGAGAAGGATGTCATGCTTTGTAAAACAGGGTCAACAAAAAAGGGGAAGGCCCTAAATGAGATGGATTGACCCAGTGGATGCAGTGAAGGCCTCAAGCACAGCAAAGACTGGGAGGATGGTGCAGGACTGGGCAGTGTTTTGTTCTGTTGTACACAGGGTCACTATGAGTAGGAGTGGAGCTGACAGCACGTAACAACAACAATGCATATACTATTTAAGAAGAAAGTAAGAGATGAAAATTAAACTAGAAAACTGTTTACTCATTGGACAATATTTTCCTAGAGTTTGAGGGGTAATGAGAACAAGTTCTAAAGGAATTTTTTTTTTCCCTTTCCTTACCCTAAAAAACAAAATTAAAAGAGGCAAGGAGGTTGGAATAGAAAGAAACCATGTAAAATACATTTATAAAAGGTTCTTATGACTAAGATAATTAACTTAGAAAAGTATATATGTAGGTTTCTTAAAACAAAGTTAGACTGGCTGACCATAAAGGATATCTTTTTATGCCAAATAATTTTTTGCTAATGAACAGAAAGATAACATTGAATTAAACACAATGGAACTATTACGCTACTGTATTTTCAGTCTCAAAATTGATCTATCAATAAAACATATTCAGTCAAGCATTTTACATTTTTAAATGTAAGCAAAAAAAAAAACCCAAAAAACAAAAAACTCACTGCTGTCAAGTTGGATCTGACTCATAGTGCAAATGCCTTAGGCACTATGCCACTAGAGCTCCTTAAGCAGTAATAGAAAAATGTTTTATGAGTCAGGATAGTTCATTTTTCCTCTCTCTATGCTATGTGACCTTGGAAAACAAATGTTCACATATCATTCTTTGGAGGAAGGAGAATAGGGACAATTAATCCATGTACATCTATTGTTTGTAGGCTTTTGTTGTTGTTGTTATGTGCCATCAAGTTGGGTCTGACTCACAGTGACCCTATGTACAACAGAATGAAACACTTCCTAGTCCTTTACATCGATGTTTCACTGCTATTCATAAGGTTTTCACTGTCCAATTCTTTAAGAAGTGGATGGTCCTTTGCTTCTTTTGAGTCTGTCTTCATCTGGAACCTTCACTGAAACTTGTCCACCATGGCTGAACCAGTGGCACAGCCTCCAGTCTCACAGCAACACGTCAGCTACCACAGTACGACAAACAGACAGATGAGTGGTGGTTGTAGGCTGTAGAACTAGGATAACAATGATACAGAACAATCAACATTTCCAAATGTATTTTCCCATCACAACAGAATCTGAAGGAGAGGGAAAAAAAGGCTTACCAACACTGCAGGGAAAGGAACACTGTTCATCAGATGGCAGTTAAAGGAAATAAGAGGAAATGATTACATTTGAAAGAACAGATTTTATGCTTAGAGTGGTGATGTGGTGCAGTGTGTGGTTAAGTCTGCAGAGTCCAGCAAGATCAGGTTAAATTCCAGTCTCTGTCTTTCCCTCAACCGGTTGCCATGGAGTCAATTCCATGTGTGTCAGAGAAGAACTGTGTTCCATGGAGTTTTCAATGACTGATATTTCAGGAGTAGATCGCCAGGCCTTTTTTTCCAAGATCCCTCTGGATGGCCTCCCACTGTCAACCTTTTGGTTAGCAGCAGAGTACAATAACAACCATTTGTACCACCAGGGACTCTAATATTTACCAGATGTTTCATTTGGGGAAAATTATTCAACTTACTCAAGTATTAGCACACCTCATTTAATTGAGGATAATAAAAGTATCCACCAAATAAAGTGATTACTCAGCTTAAATGGCATGCAGGAAAAGCTAGTTTACCAGGATTTTGCCAAAAGTAAATGCTTGGAAAATGTTAATTATTATTATTACTACTTAAAAATAAATTCATTCTGAGCAGCTAGCTCCTTAAGCCTCCTTTAAGTATGACCAGTTTACAGACTAAAGAATAGTTTTCAGGTTTTGGGACCAGCATGCAACACTGTGAGGCATGGATTCATATGAAACACTGTATTCTGGTCAGAATTTTGTTAAAAAAAAAAAATCCACAGTAACATGTATTTTGGCACTTTCTTCATGTAAAATGAGTGATAAAAAGCTAGTGGATGACACACACCCAAAGTACCTCCACTAATAATTAAGTTTTTGAGACTAGTAGCCTTAGAGGGGGCATTCCTTACCCCTAATTTAGCTGCCTCTCTGAGACTGGGAATTTCAGAACATTTAATTGTGCTCATGAGGAACATGTACATAGAACAAGAGGCAGTCATTTGAACACAATAAGGGAACAGTGCATGGCTTAAAATCAGGAAAGGTATGCACCAGTATTGTATCTTTTCACCATACTTATTCAGTCTACATGATAAGCAAATAATCCAAGAAGCCAAACTATATGAAAAAAAAAAAAAGTGTATGGCATTAGGATTTGAGGAAGACACATTAACAACCTGCGATAAGCCCATGACACAACACTGCTTACTGAAAGGGAAAAGGACTTGAAGGCTTTACCAATGAAAACGAAAGACAACAACCTCCAGTATGGATTACACCTCAACATAAAGAAACAAAAAATCCTTACAATTTGACCAATAAGTAGCATTATGATAAGTGGAGAAAAGATTGGAGTTGTCAAAGATTTCATTTCACTTGGATCCACAGTCAGGAAGCAGCAGTCAGGAAATCAATGACGTATTGCATTGGGCAAATCTGCTGTAAAAGACTTTTTAAACACGTTAAAGAGCAAAGATGTCACTTTGAAGATTGAGGTGCACCTGAGCAATGCCAAGATATTTTCAGCATACTTGTGAAAGCTGAACAATAAATAAGGAAGACAGAAGAACACATACCTTTGAATTATGGTGATGGGGAGAAGAATATACCATGAGAACAAACAAACAAACAAAAAGAATATACCAGAGAACAAACAAATTAGTCTTAGAAGAAATACAGCCAGAATGTTCTTTAGAAGCCATCTTTAGATGGCAAGACTTTATTTCTCATATTTTGGTCATGTTATCAAGAGGCACTAATCCTTGGTGAAGGACATCATGCTTGGTAAAGTGGAGCATCAGTGAAAAAGAGGAAGGCCCTTAATGAGATGGATTAACAACAGTGGCTGCAACAAGGGGCTCAAACACTGCAATGATTATGAGGATGGCACAGGATCAGACACTGTTTCATTCAGTTGCACGAAGGGCCATATGAGTTGCTACTGACTCAGTGGCACCTAACAACAACTGAAATTGTTGACTAGCAGGAAAAGAATGGAACAGGTAAAGACTACAGTGAAGAACCTTCTTTGCCCATGACACAACTAGGTCTCCATCTAAGAGCACTTTTTTTTTTTTTTTTAATTTAATGAGCCCTACCTCGCACTTCCTGAAGTATTTGCTTTTCAGACTTCAGCATATTCTCAAGGTGTTTTGAGAGATTCACAGTTAAACTAGAATTTCCAGAAATAGCTAAAGGCACAATCGTTTGACCATATTCTCTCAAATTCATTTGTCTGGCAATATCATCATTCTCAGTTACAAAGTTCTCAGCTTTTAAGAGAAAGATCACGACACCTAGAAGTCCCAGTATCTGTAGCAACATCAGCTTCCAGTTGCGCCAGCTGAACAGCGCCCTCTTTATGAACATGGCTCGGAACTGCTGGTAGTAGAGGGAACACTAAAGAAAGAAGGGAGAAACAGCATTACAATAGTCATAGACCTAAACAGGTGGCTGTTGAAATTCATTATGATGAGTACTTTGACATTTTATCAAAGAAGACATATAAAGTTTGTATAAATTAATATTTGGAATTGAAACTAAGCATAATAAACCAACAGGATAATATGGTCCTTCTTTTGTTTGTATAAGTCAAGGGTTGACCAACTATGGTCTGTTTTTGTAAACAAAGTTTTATTGGGACAGGTATGTCCATTCATTCCTACACTGTTTATCATTGTTTGCATGCTACAATGGTAGACTTGAATGATTGTTGATAGAGATCACAAAGCCTAAAGTATTTACTATCTATTCCTTTACAGAAATAGTTACTGACCCCCAGTATAAGGTATTAAATAAAATACTTATGGTCTTGATTTTTATATAAAGCATTAAAAATCTCAACAGGGTAATTTTCTTCATTCATAGTGTTGTATAATCTATGATCAGAAGAACAAAATCACATCCATTTTTCTTGTGATTTTTGTATTCTGTTAATTTCCTAAAGGAAATTTTCCTATAAAATTTGGAGATGAACCACACACACACACACACACCCACCCCACATACAGTTTTCATTATCAGGTTTCAAGATATTTGAATGGTTGGAAGTGAGAAAATATTCTTACTCTGGTTAAGAAATGTTCTCTGAATAAAACTCAGCTATTTTCAAGGGAAAAAGAAATTTAAATTTAGAGGGAGAATTCTGTATGACTTATTCTATTCAAACAGCAAGAAAGGACGTTCTTTATAGCTTTTATAAAGATGGACTATTGGAAATAATTTTAAATATACTAATGTGCTAATTCAGGGATCAGAAATAATTCTAAGCTGGCCTGTCAAATCTTCCTTCACCTGTGTCTTTTGTGAAAGGGTACATAGGGAAAAACAGAATGTTCCCTACATGGGGAAATCACATTTCTTAAGCATCTGATACATGCAAAAATTATTATTTTTTTGGATTCTTTTTTTTTTTTTTTTTGGTGTTATTAAAATCCAAAGTTCCATAGCAAACAAATACTGGAAATTTAACTCAGTTCTCTTCTGATGCCAAATCTTCAGACAATTCTGTATTGCTTCTCAATTGGTTCATCCTTTCCTTGGTATGCAAATTCATAAGGACATTCAAAAGAAATATATTGCATATTTTAGACTCCCAATAATCCAGAAAACCAGGGTGATTTATAGGGGGAATAGATAATGGATAAGGAGAATGGAATAAATGTTTGGCAACTCTAAGAGACTTATACTGAGCATCATACTGATTTGAGAATGATCCCCCAGGTAATATTAAATTCCCATGGCAAAAACATAAAATACTTAAAGCACTTTGCTATATA